TTATATAATTCACCCAGTGATTGTATTTCATTTTCTTAAAGTTGTCGTTTAAATAATTGAGTTTTGATCCAGAGTTCTGTGTGTTCTGATGCGCATATTTTCCCTGAAAATGACCAGAAGCTTCCTGACCCCTTTACTTTTTCTGAAGTATCAGTTAATCTGTAAATTAATGAATTATATTTAATGTTTAAATTGTAATAGCTTTGAGTAATTATTTAAAGTGTAATTTAGATGAAATTCCATATATCATCACATATTAAAACCTTAATAGTCAATAATTGAAGAAATATAGTGCACACATTCATATCACAACTTCTGGGCATTCAAGGTGCCTTTTGAGGCTTGTCGTGTTGTGGATCTTATTACAGTTTTAAAAAAAGCTTTTTATAAGCCATTTTAAGTGCAAAATGCAACTTCAAGGTAAAAGCTAAAAAGCAGATGTATGCAAAACTTTATGAAACCCACACTAGTTTCAGGTTTGAGGGGGAGTGGTTTGATGTCATGGGAAGCATTCTGAATAATATGAGAACTCTTCCTATGAAGTTGGAACAGTTGGTAAAATTTCAACTTTTATAAGGCTTGAGGATTTTGGTAACAGCTATGAGTTTAGTTGCTTTGTAAAGTTTGGTCTCTCATCTGACAACGTTTCTGTTTCCTCCTATTTCAATTCTGGTTTCATTATTATTATATTTTCAAATTAGTTCTTCCTGAATATGAATATTCCTGAGTATTACTAAAATCTGGTAGTATTTGTTGTTCACTGATTCCAGCAGTTTCAAATCTAATTTTATTAAGAAGAAAAACAGTCATACATTTCAAAAACGTCATTTTGAATTGCTACTGTGAACAGCAGTCTTAAGTACTGTTAATTCAAAGTATCAACTTTCAGCCGCAATTGGGGCTGGAATTTTGGTCAAGTCATGATGGTCACAAGATACACCCAAGTGGATTGGACTTGATTTTATAACAATAGTTAAGCAAATCATAGTTATCAATCTGAATTGTGTGGTTGCAAAGTGAATCACACAATCATAAGAACAAGTCAGAAACCAGCAGATTGCTGGAAACTGGCAAAAAAGTTGCATACTGTGGTTACATGAACGGGATATTGCAGTCAGTCATAAATGTGAGCTGGTTGCTAAGAAATGTAGTTATCACTAGCATTGATGGTGTTACCTAGGTAGGATAATGAAATGTCTGCAAGAAAACGACCAAGGCCAGAGCGCACCAAGGATTCCTCATTTCAACTGTGAGCTACAAATATTCCCCTTTAAAAAGCATCCTGCGGCAATTTACTTAGTTGTAGTGCTGATTGTACAGCATTTGGATGATTTATTACCGCAAAAAGATTAGAAGGTACTGATGTCTTTTACAATTGTCTTTGTAATAAGCCCGTACTCTTCCCATCTAATTTGTTTCCCAGGGTGCAGACTTTTTTTTTCCCTGTTCATTCTTTGTTTGGTTAACCAATTTAGCTACTTTCTGCCTCAACCTTTTTCTTTATGCTTTTACTTTAATAAAGCCTTTTTCAGATGAAACCATTTGAATGTTGCACAAACTAACAGATAATTTAGTAGCAGACTGCCCTGTGGCAGCAATGTTGAAAGCCTTCAAATGAGAGCAATATTTATTACCTCAGGAGAAAGGCATACAGTATTTAAAATTAATTATGGAATTGGTTTACACTTAAAATGACTCGTACAATTGATCTTTACATCACACAAAGCCCGTGGGCACTGGCATTTTAAACAAAGGGTTTAATTTGGGATGTGGTCTTGTTTATATTGTTTTCATTTGTTTTGTTTGAATGTGGATAATAATGCAAATAAAGGTTTCTATTTGAAACTGAACTTTGGTGGCATGATTAAATCTCAAATTGTAAAAACTATATACTTTCACTTACATTTTTACTCCTAAATTAGATTCTGTCCTGGCAAACTGACTAAGGTAAGTTAAACTTCCAAAATCAGGTGACATACAGAGATGGGTATACTGCATAAAGGAAACATTTTTTCATTCATAAAAAGCCTGAATATAATTAGTTGATAGTATTTGGTGGCATAATTGCCTGTTACACATTTGATACTATGTGAAAGTTTCAACATGATGCTTCCATAGAATACTTCCATACATACACCACACATAATTATTCCATAATGTGATCTGTAAAAATAAAACTGAGTCAAAATGATTTAAACTTAGTTTGTAGGCCGCATGGTAAACCTCAGTGTAAATTGTGATATTTACGGTATCTTTCACATATTTCTATGTAAATAATGGATGTAAATCGAACAAATACATTCCTACAAAGGTTTTATCTAGGATAAGGTGGGAAGTAGATTAAATCTTGTACTGAAGCTTTCAACTTACTGTATTTTTCGGAATGAGACGCACCAGAGTGTAAGACATACCAAGATTTTGAAGAGGCAAATTAAAAAAAAGTTCTTGCACTCTGCAGACCTCCCAAAACTGCCCATTTTCTGTGAAAACGGGACCGTTTTTTTTAAAAAGGGCCATTAGGAGGCTTAGCGAGGACTCCTGGGGGTGGGGTGGGCAGCAAAATTGAGCAAAAAAAGGCCCATTTTTTGCTCATATTTTCCCTCCCCAGCCCCCAGGAGGACTCTGGAAGCCTCCTAAAGGCTATACAAGGACATTTTGGTGAAGGTGGCGGGGTTTTGGGAGGCAAAAACTGCTGTATTCAGTGTATGATGCACCCAGATTTTCAGCCTCTTGAGGGAAAAGGGTGCATCTTATATACGGTAGTAAGATTTGCTATGTCACCTGTCTTGAAATAGCCATCACTTGATCTAACCATCACAGATGACTATACGCCTACCACCAAATTCTCTTTTGAGAAAGTAAGTAGAGAAAGTGGCAGGATTGCAGCTAAAAGGGTTTCTGGGTAACAAATATCTGGATCCCTTCTATTCTGGGTTGAGATTTGAGAATGAGATGGAAGCTGTACTTTTGAGATTTGGAGGCTATGGTATCTCACTTTTTCTTGCTGGATCACATAGCAGTCTGCTATTAAATTATGATGTCCATTTGAGCTGCTTACAAGGGTTCGGGATTGGGGACAATGTGTTACAGAGATTTTGCTCCTTAAATGGGTAGTTCTAATTGCTGGTGGGAGAGAAAAGTTCAAGTCCTTCACTATTTCCATTTTGGGTTTTTAAAAGCTCGGCACATTGAGTTTCCTCCATGTGCCTTGAGTAAAAGCTCTGATATTACAAATTAGTACCCCTGGGAAAGATAATCTCTCAGTTTGGGTGAGGCACTGGTACTATGCTAATGAGGCCCAACTCTATATCTCCACTCATGGCTTTACAGGCCTTGTAGAAATTTTGACTTTTGAGAAACTGACCAGCCCAGTAGAGGCTCAGAATGAATCCTGCTAAGAGGAGTTCTTGTTTCTGCAAAGGCCTTCTGGTACCAGGACAATTCCATGCTTAGCTATGCTGAGTAGCTGTCCCCTGAAGGAGAGCATGTACCAATTTAGGGGTCCTCCTGGAACAACAGTTGAGGCAGAGGAGCCTTCTTTGTCTTCCATTAATTTGCCAGTTGTACTCTTCTCTGGATCAGGATGTGCTAACTAATTACTTGTGCCCTTGTTATCTCCCAGTTGCATTGTTACAATTCACAACATGAATTTACTCTGCAAGACAACTTGGGAGCTGGAGCAGAATGCCATCCCTTGCTTTGCTCACTGGTAAATAGCAATAGCAGTAGACTTATATACCGCTTCATAGGGCTTTTAAGCCCTCTCTATAAGCGGTTTACAGAGTCAGCATATTGCCCCCAACAACAATCTGGGTCCTCATTTTACCCACCTCGGAAGGATGGAAGGCTGAGTCAACCCTGAGTCGGTGAGATTTGAACCGCTGAACTGCTGATCTAGCAGTCAGCTGAAGTAGCCTGCAGTGCTGCATTTAACCACCGTGCCACCTCGGAATTATGTAACTATTACCATGCTGGCTGACTTCTAGGTCTTATTTACTAGTACCTATAAAGCTCTTTATGGATGAGAGCCATGTCAACTTCATGATTCCAGATGTCTACGCCATTATGTTCAGCCTGAGAAAGCATGCTAGGAGTTTTTCTCCTTGCTAGGAAATCAGGGCTAGTAGAGCGATTTTTCTCTGGAGCAGCTGGCTACTGAATGGTACCTCATGAAGAAGTGCTTCCCAGAAGCCCTGGAGAAAACAAGGGTTAGGGTTGCTTCAATACTCTTTATTATGTATTTTTTCATAGTTGTAAACCATTCTCGAATTGTGTTGAGGGGTGTGTATGTGTGTATATGTGTGTGTTACAAAAACATCCTTGCTTAATCTCTCTAAGTGGAGCTAGGAACTTTGCTAAGCAAAATGGTTGTTAAGTGGGAATTCATATGATGCATAGCACATCCGAGACTCCTAGTCCGGATCTCCCTACATGCTTTCAATGTGCAGCTTTCTTGCAATCCCTTTCTTGCCAGTCAATCTCTCTGAAATGGAGGGGGGGGCTCTTACAGGTCAGCCACAAAATAATATATACTGACTGTAATGGTGACCATGTGATTGAGGGACGTTGCCTCAGAAGGTTGTACTGGTTATAAATAGGCCACAATTTTTTCCAGTACCACTATAACTTCAATGAATAGTTGGTAGGCAAACACTATGATTATATAAATAAAATGCAAAATTTCTCTGTGGTGGAAGGCAAAATGTGTAGTAGAAAAACAATGAAGGAAATTGAAGTTCTGCTTTTGATGTGTTCAAGTAATGGAATAAGAGAATTTTCTTTGAGACTGAATTTGTAAACAGTTCGATTTTTTAGAAGTCAGGTCTTACTGGGAAAAGTTCTTTCCCATTCTCTCCCACCCAACAAGTTGTGTTTGTAAATTTTCAGAAATGTATTTTTTCTAATATACAGGATATATAAATTCATATTTTGGCAACAAACTAGAATTAAATTGCTTATATAGTGATCACAGAATTATCTTTTTAAAAAAGCTCCAAGTATAAAAGTAAACAAGTGCTTTTTTATAGTAATAATTTTGGTTTTTTTTAACATACAATATAACCACAAAGACTTAATACAAATCCAACTTTGTTAAAATTCAAGACATACATCAACTGCTTTTCATTTTGCAGTGGTTTCTTTTTTTAAAAAAGTGATCAATTCTAAAGTTTAATTATGCAGTGAAGTGACATTTTCAGAAATGATATTGGGGCATGCCAATATTTCAGTAACAAAAATCTTCTGGATTGGATTTCTTTTGAAATGGAACACTTCCGTTATTTACAATACAATGCTGGAAAGGTGGTTTTCTCCAAGTGAGGGTTTATTTTCTGTTTCTTCTCTTAACCTCAAGGAAGATGTGAAAACTGTGAACTAAATTGCATTTTGTAGTACACAAACAAGTGACAATATTACAGTGCTGAATTGGTGCTGCTTTTCAGTAATATCCTTCTCAGATCCTAGAATCCCTTAACAGATTTTCTTTTTAACCAGTGCTTCAAAGTTTAATTTGTCCAAGCCAAAATGGGAAAAAGTGTTATTATCTTCATTTGTCTTTCCAATGCTTTAATTTAAAGAAAATATAAAATTGTCTTCTGCTGAAATTTGATCTGTGCTTTTGCCTTTCTGGATTCTAAGGGTTGCGATTTTTCTCTGCTGTCCTCTTTTGGATGAAGATGATTGACTGAAATAAAATAGCTTGTGAAGCAAGTGAGGTATAATCCAAAGCAAATGCGAGTTAAACTAGTAGAATACAGGTTCTTGACAACAGTAGTCTCCAGAAGATAACTGCATCATTTTGGACTGCATAAAAATGCAAATATCCTATTTACCTTAGCATCAAAGTTCATTCAGTCTTCCAGGCTAAGATTATGATTCAGTCTGAAATCATACATACTTTATTAAGTCTGTACAAGAATTCAAGTTCCGGCCAGTTTATGTCCTCACTGAGGTCTAGCAGTTGTAGGAAATTACCCCTCCCAGCCTTCCCAAAGCTGCCCTCTGTGAAATAGAAATAAAAGACATATCATTAGTTCATTGTCATTGTAACTGATGGGACTATGAAACAAGTTTAATTTTGTCAAGGTCACACGAGGAAAAAAATGTGGACCACAGAGGGGCTACATGTGGAACCTTCTGTAAAAATAAAGATCGTCATCTCCCTTACTTGGCAACTGAATTTTTAGAAGAAATTTGACATCTATTTTAAGATCTGTGGTGGCGCAGTGGTTAAAATTAGGTTTTGCAGGCTAACTGCCCACAACAAGGAGTTCGATCCTGAGCGATTCAAGGTTGATTCAAGCTTTTCATCCTACAGAGGTTGGTAAAATGAGGACCTAGATTGTTGGGGGCAATGTGCTGACATTGTATGTATTGTATGTATGTCAGTATATCATAGAGCAATAATTTTTGAGGGAGGTAGGAAAAGGAAGAAAGGAAGGAAAGGAAAGGAAAGAAGATCACAGTTGCATGAGGTTCTCATTTAATGATCTGGAATGATTTACTTAACTACAGTAATCAGGGTCTGCTAGAATTGCTGTTGCTAAAATGTGTGCTCAATAATATTCTGCTTTACCAATGCATAGTAAGGTAATGGAAATTCCAATGCCAATTACCATTATTAACTAGGGACTACCTGTAGCTGTAATCTGATATTTAAGATTGGACTCAAGTTTGAGCTCCAGCTTTTGCTTTAGATTAGCACAGCCAGAAGGCAGCTGATACATTTGCCTAATGTGCTCTACACAGGTAAGTTCTTGACTTATGACCATGAGTCCCAAATTTCTGTTCCTAAGCAAGGAAGCTCTTAAGTGAGTTTTGCCCAATTTTATGACCTAAAATTACCCATAACTGTTAAGCGAATCACTATGGTTAAGTGACTCATGTGATCGTTGAGCAAATCTATCTTCCCCCATGGACTTTGCTTTTTGGGAGTCGGCTGGGAATGTTACAAATGGTGATCATATGATCCTGGAACATGCAACTGTCATAAATACATGCCATTTGTTAAGCATCTAAATTTTGATCTAGAGAGTGTGGGAAAGTAATTTTTTTCTGTGTCACTATAACTTTGAAGGTCACGAATGATTGTCAGAACTACTTCTATATAGGCAGCCTAAGGCAGCATTCCACTCTGATTAACAGGAAGAGAATTCAGGAAAAAAAGATCCTCTTCTAAATATTGGCCCTCCATGATACAGTAATTCAGCTTCGAAGGTTCCATCATATTAGTATTGAACCCTAACCTCTAGACTTTTGCTAGAGACTCCAAATATTAGATGAGGTCCATCATTCTGTCAACCTTCTATCTGTGAAGATGGACTAAAAATAGGATATATGAAGTTGTAAATATGTACTATGTGCAAGAAAGAAATAAAAATAAAAGAACAAGAAACAAAAACTAATGATTTATACGAATAAACTCCAACTTACAGGGACTTGGAAGATGAAGATTTTTTCATTTCTGGCCATTTTCGACGTTGAAACTGCCTAATTTTTGAGACACAATAGAACAGAAAAATTAGTCACACACCTTATCAAAGAAAAGAAAGAAAGAAAAAAAAGAAAAGAAATAAATTTAAAAAATCATGTTTGGTAGGCAATAAAATATTGAACATTTCTAACATTAAAGCACCAAAAGAAATCCAATATTTTGCTCTCCTTACCAAAACCTAATTCTAACTGCCTATGAATTATTTCAGTATTTAATGTAGATTTACTTCTGCAGGTGGGGAAACGTATTATTTGTAGTACCTGTATTGTTCATAGCTTCCATCTTTAAGACCTAAATGAAGAAAATAATACTTATTAACAAGAGGTTATGGAAGCACAGACAAAAAAAGCATATTGTAAAAGTAAAATAGGCTATCAAAAGTTTGTTTTAAAGACAGTGGCACTTTCCAAAGTTTGAGACAACAAAACCACAGCAGCTGCATATAGAATAAGGCAGCTCAATGCCGAATTAAGAATCTACACATTCAATTTACATTCCCATAATAACGTCAAAGCTGGTTCACATTTATTATGCCCCTATTGCAGTTTGATACAGAGGCAATGTGATGGAATACTGAATTTAAATAAAGTCATTGAGTTAAGCTATTCTCTTCACTTTTTATACTGCTATCCACAAAGCTACATATAGTTAATAACTAATATTTTATCACTTGAAACAAAGTTCCCAATGTCTGTATTCTTATTTATCTTACCAGTGTAAGACCTATGATAAATTCTACAATTTATTTATAGATTCATATCACACCTTTCTTAATTAGAATTAACAAAGACACTTCCCGTAACATTTATATGAAGTTTAAGTATGTGATTAAAACCTATCCCTGATTTAGATTTCCTGTTTAAACTACTTAAAGGTATATTACAAGTGACTTAAAATAGTATCATTCAAATTATTTAAGCATACTCCTCTTACCAAAGTGAAATAAAAACTGAACTTACCAAGTTCCATGTTTCGGGTCCTTGGGTTGCATTGTTTATGGCCTTTGCAACTTCTCAGTTCCATGAGCTGCACATGCAGTTGGTTGAGAACATCTCTATGCAGTGTGTTCACTGCATTAATTAGCTGCACATAGACACAATTTTTAAATTATAGCAGGTTTTAATGAGCAGAGAAGAGATTGCATTGCTTTTTTTCAGTGTATTTTAATTTTTTTTTAAATGAGTTGCAGGAATAATAAAGGGGAAGACTCTAGCATTCAGCTCCGGAAAACATGCCATCATTTTGTGCACAGGGAACAAAAAAAAGACAAATGAATTGGTGTGAAAAGTTTACGGGGAATCTCCCTATCTAGCCAATCAATGTGCTTTTTTCATAAAAGAGACCCATTTTAAATAAATGCAGTTCAGACCAGCCTGTTACGGAGCATATGAGTTGTAACATTCACCCACCCACCCCCAACTTCCACCTGGGATAGAAGCCTGATAGAAAACGATTAGAAGAAGTCTGCATGACAGAATGAAACAGTTCCCTATGAATGATATGGAACATCTGGTGAGGTTGCCCTATGTTCTAAAAACACCCTAGAGAAATCATGTTCGCTTCTGCTTTTTTCCTGGTTAGAAGAGGGGGTGGGAGAGGGAAAGGTGGGCCCCTGTCAATATGCTGGGAAGTGGGGGTGGGGTGATCCTCCCTGAAATTGGATAAAGGCACTTGCATTTGTAATGCTCAGATGTAGATTACAATCTTAGACTTCTACTGCTATTTTCTTTTTCTGCAGAGATCAGGTTTTGGTGGAGAAAAAGGAAGTAGTGATGAAGGCAACTGTAGAACTGAACTTCATCCTCACCTCATGAGGATACTAATATTATAAGCTTTAATTTATAACATTGTCACAGGACCTTTTTATGTGTACCCAAGTTAGTGGCTCCAAAACAAGAGAGCCAACATGACAAACCTGGTCCCTAGTCAAATCACATACTAGGGACCAGTGTGGGCTCAAAGGCTAATACTGCCTTCTACTCCATTCTTTCGTACATCCTACTGCTCCTCCAACTATTACCCTTGTGAATCCTACTGCTGGACAACCTCTCCATTCAGCTTTTATAGCCAACCGTTGCCGGGCTGGCTAGGAAGAGGCCTCAAAGGGATGGCAAAAGAAGATGTTGGCCATTTTATAGGCAGTCTGTCATCTCACAAACATTAATGAAAACTAACTATAAGTTTAACATGGAGAATAAATTGTGGGACCTGCAATCTGAAGACATCAAGAAAGCATGAGATACAGAAAGGTTGATATATATGAAAAGGTTTCCTGCAGCCAACACTGGTGGATTATATCTGATCCACTGCAAAATGTAGTGTGCCAATTGATATTATTGTCATGAAAACTGGTAAATCCAGGGCAGACTCGGTTTTTTTTTTTTTTTGTATGGGTCATGAAAAGTTGATCATATGCAAACTTTGAACCTTTGGGTTTCTTTTTAATTACCTGGTAAGGGTCGGTGTTCAGGTCAAAGTACTCAAGGAAGCCAGTAGCAAATTCACAGAACAGAAAGTTGTGTGTCTCATTGATTGTCCTCATACACCAATATGTGTTGTTGTTTGCACTGGTACAGGCACAGAAAGGACCCACTACAAATAAAATGTTAACATTTGACAACAGTTGTAAAGTACTTCCTAAATAATTTTAAATGCTTTACATGCATGGAGATATATCTTACATGTCCACAAGGGGGCAGTCTGCCAGTGCTGGTTGTCATGTGTGAAGCATGTCAGGCCTGGCATGCTACACGTGTCATTATTCTTTATTCTTTTGAGCAGCTTCCTGAGTTTCTTCTTTCGTCTCTGTTCTCGGAGGAGCCATAGCTTATCCTTCTCCTGAAAGGTTTTCCTGAACACAAAGATCAAGAATTCATAATAACTCACAAATTGCCTCAGAGATAAAACCAGCTGCTTTATAGACCCAGAAGCCTGGCAGTCGAAGTAGCCTATCTTGGATGAGAAGCGAAACATCTTCAAGGACAATCTGAGAAGGGATTCATCTCCCATCTCATTCAGTTTTTAAATAACCGCAAAGTTAATTTTGGGACGCTAACTTCTTCATCATCTTTTTTTTTTTTTGGTATTGAGTGAGTTTTGAATTCTAGTAAGTGCCTGGACTATTCCCTGCAGTTTTCTTGGCAGGGTATTTTTGGGAAGTGATTTGCCTGCTTCTTAGGGCTGAGAGACAGAGACTGGCCCATGGCCACCTGCTGGCTTTGTGCTTAAGGTGGGCCTAGAACTCACAATCTCCTGGTTTCTAGTCAGATGCCTTAATTGTACACCAAACTGGGCTCTTAACTTTATTTACTCCTCTTTGTCAGGACTAAGTTTGTTGGTCCTTTTGGTCATCCGGCCATTATTATGCTTATATGTGTGTAAAAGAGCTTCCCAGTCAATAATCCAAAACCCATGAGGTAGAACTCTTCTGAACTAATAAATGTATCGCCATGAAGAGAAATTTTCAAACAAACAGCATGCATCAACAACACTCGGCCCCAGTCTGAGATAGATTATGCATTGCTACGTTAGTCTGGATATATTTCCTTAAAAATACTTCTCAAATCTTTTTTTTTAAAGTCTCTGTGTAATAGAGTGAGTCATATAAAGTCCAAGTCCCTGCAGAATTAGCAATAGCAATAGCAGTTAGACTTATATACCACTTCATAGGGCTTTCAGCCCTCTCTAAGCGGTTTACAGAGTCAGCATNCTATTGGTTGGTCTTCCTTTGAGACTTCACGAGATCCAAAACAGAAACAGCAAGGAAAGCTCAGGGCCATTCTGACTTCAGGAAGGGCACTTGCTGGGGCTAATATTTTGAGAAAGGCGCTGTCTTCTGTAATTTAGACAAATGTATATTCTGGTAAGAAAACCCTGTCAGGAACATAATTAGAATGTGAAGAAAAAAAAGGGGAAAATGCATTCAGGGATAGCCAGAATAAGAAGGAAGGAGAATGAGGGGGGTGAAAGGCTGCGTAGAAAGGTTATAATAAAACCTGCATTGTTTGCAAAAAGCCTGCTGTTTCCTTTATGTCTAACTGATCTGTGCCAGAAGCCCTCTTGAATTTCTACAAGAATAGAGCTTCAGATCATCTGCATTCAATGCCAGAGTCACGGCCCTGGAACCGATAATAGACTCTGACAGGATTTAATTACCTTCTCCAGGACCTTTTCTCTGTTTGATTGGAGACCACCCCTGCCTCCGATCAATTCAGACAGTAATAACACACTGAAGCACAGCAGCCAATCATGAGTCAAGTCTGAACAGTGACCTTGCTGAGTAGAAGCTGATTGGCGGTGTCAGCCTTGTCAACTATGTCAGTGAACCATCAGAAAAGAAAAGTGGGGAGGGGGAGGAGGAAAAGAAAGACGGAGAACCCAAGATAAGGGAACAGCATTCATGCTAATAGACTCTGTCAGCATGCATAGCTTGAGGTTACATTTCAAGTGTGGCAACGCAGGAGAAGAACACAATATGGCAAAACTAATGAAAACTTGGAATGATTCAGATGCACACATATCTGCTCTGGGAACATAATTAGAGAATTAATGTATCTGGGAATCTGGGTAAAATATGAGGAAACCTATGTTCTTTTCTTATAAAATATTTTTTGCAAAACCTCCAATTTTCAGGAATATGGGAATAAAAAAAATTATCAGATGTAATAATTAATGTCCACTATGCTTCTCATTTAAAATTTGAGTGTGCCAGGATTACCTTGCACATAGGTATTTTTGATACAGAATCTATTGTTTCTGAGAGCTTTAAAAAAGTGCTGTGTTGCTTTCTTTCAATAACAATATGTTGAGGAAATAAAGAGGAATGCTCGTTGTTTTGTTTTGTTGTAATGTTGAAAGCTAGGAGCTCTTACTAAAGCATCCAAGGACCAGCAAAAAATATCATTGAAGATGTAATTATGTGACAGCTTTGGAAAAGATTTCTACCTCTTATTTTATTTTATTATATTATATATTAAACATTTTGCATGGGCCATATTTCAATGGGGTGCTCTCACTAAGTATTGTGGCTGCATACCTCCATGTGTTAATGTGTTAATCATGGCATGGCATGGCTTTGACTACATGATCTAACTATACCAACTAAAGTATCTGTTCTACTTGATCACTTAACTTCTTTCCCCTATCAAGGGGGGAAAATTGGGGGGGGGGTTGTCTTGCTATGGTAAAAACAATTTCTTTGAGATGGATTTTGTATTTCCAGACGTGTTCCAGTTAGTCTGTTTTTCCCCCACAAGCTTTGAACAAATTCTTGGTGCAACCTTATTGTGATTTTTGTATCTGACAGGTCCCAATTTACATGTCTCAGACTTCTCTCACACTCTGAAATTGGTGCAGACATAAAAACCTCTCCCTTTTTCTCTCTTACCCTTTCAACTAAATTTTTATCCATAGTCTCACAAAATGTTCTTGAGAATTCTGAAGCTTGTATATTGTTATATAAAATGTTAGTTGGCCAAACCAAAATAGGTTAGGGCAACTAACAGATTTTGGATCATTTAGGTACTCTTCTCCCTATCAGCCAAGATTTTTTTTTACTGTTCTTAACTCTGGTAGTATTATGAAAAAAAAATATGCAAATGCGTTTTCATGTTTAATATGTGTTTGGTGCTGGAAATAGACCCTGTCAACCTTGTCCTAATAGATTGAATATCTTATTAAGAAAGTAGGGATCGTACTGACTTTAAGAGAAATGTCCAGATAAACATTCAACATGGTCTTCATAGCTCCACAATAGCTAGATTTGCACATGAATCCTGAATTAGGGTTTATATGGACTGGATCTATTCAGCACATCAAGCCAAAGCCAAACCAATTTAGTGTAATGTGTGAATCCAACCATTATGACAAATGATGATATGTGTGTGAACAGTATAACTGTGTCATTTAAACAATCAATGTGGTTTTAGACAAAAGAAACAACAGCCATAGCAAACCTTACTTCCTGCAATATGCATAGCAAAATGAAGGAAAACAGATTTACATTACATTGCCAAGACTGAGTAAAAATGAACTTCATAAATGTAAGGACTGATTTATAGTCTTTTATAATGTATTCCATATTGCCAAAGAAACAATGTAATTTTGAAGTGCATCACTACTGTCCCGTTAAACAGAAAGGCTAGATTATTAATATTTTTTCTTTTTGTTCCTTGGTACACAACTTTATACTAAATCTTAATATGGTTTGCTTGGTTTGGCTTGGTTGACTAAATATACATGAAGCCAGCTATTGTGAATTGTTAACTACAGTTTATGGTTTAGTTTGAGCCATTTCCTAAAAAAAGTGGGGGAAAGGAAATAAAAGTTGCTTCTAAAGAATGCATTTGCATAATCTGTTCCTTTTTTTTATGAGGCAGGGTTTTTATCAACAAGAACACATGTCGGCATGCATTTCACATCTTACAAATGGCTCAATTATTTATTCTGTTGGAAGGCCAAGCTGTGTACAGAAGCACTGAATTCTGAATATTGCATTATCATCAGCTTGTGATCTCAACATGAGATGAACTATGTGCAAAACTGGATAATAAATTCACAGTGATGCACTTAGAATGCATGCCTCTCCCCCCTCCCCCTTCCTGAATCATCTTTTTTTGTGTGGCCAGTACTGTGTATTAAGTGAAAAGTGCAAGTATAATGCTATTTTGAAACTGTAGTTGTGCTCCTTAGTTATATGTATTACACTTTCATTGTGGAATGAGAAGCTGGATAGAGAAGACATGTATGAACCCACAATTGAAATATATCATATTCTTTCTCTTCCCCTCTACTTGTTCTTTTCACACATTTGGAAGATTGGAGAGTGATACAATACTAGACAGCAGCTGCATCTTTTTATTTTTGTAGATGCATGTTACTAACAGTACAACCAGGAATAGGAAGTCTGGGATGACAACATGAAGACAGTAAAATTTACTGTGGCACATTGATAAATTACTTGTATTGTTGAGTAATATACTAAGGTTGCTAGAATTAACTTTCAGTTGTCTAAGATATTGCTTGGCTCTTTAATTCATTTACTTAAAACATCTTGAGTTTTAGAGATATGCCTCACAAAACGAAGTGCCATCAAGAGGGAAGGCTAAGAATAATTACCATGAGAAGCTGTTCATCGATGCTAATTACAGAAGACAGAAGGCACAAGGCAATTGGAAGAGAATTTCATAGTTTAGAAAATACCACTGAGAAAAATCTATAATTTTTTTGTTTTACTGGCTTGGCATATTAATTGTTTTCTATTTGTGAAAAATGGTCTATATCAGTGGTCCCCAACCTTTCTAGTCCTGCAGACCGGTGGTGGTAGCGGGGGAGGGGGGGGGAAGAGGGGATGGTTTTGCATGCACATGCGTCACTTGCACAAATGCAGCTTCCTGTACTCACCTGATGCTGGTGCAGTTGGGTTCCCAATGGGCTGCGGCCTTGAACTTGGTCAAAGACCAGGAGTTGGGGGGCCCTGATATATATAACACAGACTAACCCCAATGCAATTAAAGGACATCGGCATTTAAAATCAAGATGCTGGCCTGCATTGACCATTAAACATCAATACCAAAGCCTGAAAACATCAAGGAGTATTTAAATACAGATAATAATTGATGAAAGATGAAATGAATTCCAAAATGCTGGAGTCAGAAGAACTTCAGTTGGAAAGCTTAAGGAGTAACAGATCAGGAATATAAACTGCAGCGCTGTAATATGGATCTCTAAATAGTTTCCTTTAGATGATGAAAGCAGGTTTGGTGAGTAGAGAAATATTGCTGTAATTTCTTGAATACTGAATCAGCAAACTAAACCCTTATTTGATATGTATGTATTGAAGCCAGGATCTATAGCTGGTTCTCAAATGCCAGCAACTTGTCTAAAATGTACCTTACAAAGCAATACAATTATTAAAATATGACTTTGCTGGTCAAAGAGTTCATCACGACATGCAAAAGAGCTGAGGAGAAGGAGAAGGAGTACTTAGGAGCAGTGTTCAATATCATGCACACAACAAAGGCATTTATTTGAGAAATTCCAAAATAATTAAAAACATTTCTAAAGGGGAAGAGGGGAAACTGATAAAACACAATGCTAAATCATTATGTATCATTGATTTGGTTCCCAAGGATGGATATGGCATATTCTGATTGACATTGCTTCATATGTAGAAATATCATCATACAGGTTTGGCAACCAGACTTGGGACTGATAACTTGGTTGTTAAATGAAGCAATCAGAAAGTGAAACCACAACTGTGTTTATAATATTACTGCAGCTTTCCTTTGTTTTACAGATCTGTAAACATCATAAATGTGAGGATTGGGCACAAAGTTCCTTTTTGAGCTCAGCAGTAATTCAGAAAAAAATTCTGTAAGAGGTAGTATTGCTAGTAACCAATTTCATTGTATTTAAGTACAATGACAATAAAGATGATACTTATAGTATTTCGATCATTTTCAAAGAAGAAAAAAGAGAATCATTTTTCCCCAGATGGACCAAATACATTGTTATTCCAACTTCCAATGCATTTCTATCTACAGTTATCAACAAGAGAGATTACAGGGGTTTGAATGGCTTGACAGCACAATAGAGCATAGTGTTATTAGACATAGCTTGTTGTCCAAACAATTACTGTAATTCTCACAATTATTACTGGTGTTCATTTTTTTCTGGCTGCTCAGAGTTTTAGAAAAATAAACAACAAGCACATGTACAGATGCTATTGCAGGAATGAAAGGATATGAAAGAAATACACTATATTTGTGTCTCTTCCATCCATCCATCCATCCATCCATCCATCCATCCATCCATCCCTCCTTCCATCCATCCTAATGTGGTTCACATAATCCTTATGTACACATAGATATATTCTTTGCTGTTCACTAGACACCCCACTCACTGTAACTTTGTGGCTGCTTACTAAATTATTTTTCAAAGGGGAGAGAACTGGCACATTACAAAGCTTTGTTTTTATTTCTAATAATGTCACTTGGCACCACAGAGGCTGCATGAACATGGAAAATAAAAAAAACAGTAAGAGGTTGCAGCCCAGGAATGAAAAAGTCAAAGCAGCTGGGATTATCCTGGAGGACTAAAGGTGGTGTTGGTGGAGGCAGTGATGGAGGCGGATGGTAAATTGATGGTTTGTGACTGATCACACCCTCCATATAATCACATTGATGTGATTCACAGTGTCTGCCTATGCTTTTCCATCACTATCAGGATGTTAGGAAAATGCCCTTCACCTCCATGCCTCACTCACCTAACTGAAATTGCGTTGTAATAAAAATAATGTTACTGAACAGCAGCTGTAGAACTCAAGGACTCTTAGGGCAGAATAGAATTACTTATTGTTATGGTATGGAAGACCCTTTTTGTCCCTTATATTGCAAGCCAAAATTATATTAAGTGGAGTAAATTTTATGTCGCTTTCCAAACCGTGGCTCAAATTCAGTAAGCTTTAAACTTCAGTAGACCTAACAAGTAAACAAGATTTATGGTTTTAATGGTCATTTCAGCTGAGTTCTGGCAATAAGAGCTAATGTCTGGGCAATAAGAAAAACTGAAAACTAGCATGAAGTGGATCTGGGTGAAATAGTATATTTCAAAATGGGAATGTGCTTATCTGTTTATTTTGCACTATTGGTAAACTAAAGCTAGTGAGTATCATAAAACTGTTAGTCATACAGACCAAAAAAATTAGATCTTTGGAGTCTGTGACACACCAGGAATTTTGGCACTATGTCATAAGTGCTATCACAAAATGATTGCCATGAAAAGCTATCCCCGTTTCAATGTGGTATGAGGGTGTGGTTAATCACAAACCATCCATTCACCATCTAGACCCTCTCCCTCTTTAGTTCTTTCAAAATAATCCCATTCACCCTCACTGCAAGCACCTATTTTTATTTTCAAAGAAAGGATCCAGCATATTCATGAAAATAAAAATACTAGCATGCCAGAACTAACCCTTCCACCTACCTTTTTAAAAAAAAAAGAGAAATCTAGCAAGCAGACAAAACAGTTAACTTGAATAAAGTACCTGGTAAAAAAAAATAAAGAAGAAAGTGTCTCAGTACATTGATAAGTATGGGACATAATTATTCTATTTTGGCACAGGATTTTAGAGAAAACTAAATTCTGAAAGGCATTATTTTTTAAAATACATTAGTAGATTTAAATATCTCTTTACTGAGATAACCTTCTCTCCCTAACAAGTTATTTGGGAAAATTATTAGGGCTGCAAAGCAATTAATGGACAAATTTGTTTAATGTGAAAGCCTCAATTTTACAGGATCCTGGACATAATAAAGAAGAGTTCTAGCTGGGTCTTTTGTGTCTATATAATTGGTTCCATGCTTTACTGGGCATCCATAGAGATTGTTATGGGCTTCAAAATGGCAGGCATAAGNGGGTCCTCATTTTACCCACCTCGGAAGGATGGAAGGCTGAGTCAACCCTGAGCTGGTGAGATTTGAACAGCCGAACTGCAGAATTGCAGTCAGCTGAAGTAGCCTGCAGTGCTGCATTTAACCACTGCGCCACCTTGGCTCTAATTCATGGAGAATTCTCCATGAAAACATATATGACAAGTGGCTGTTTATTCCCTGCTTGTCTTGAAGACGTCCTGTATGAGGAATCCACCACTTTTGAAACATTAAGTATTTAAAATTCAGAACTGAAGAAGCTTCTTGGATGAGAAGTGAAATATCTTCAAGAAAAAGCAAAGTTCAGTTGCCTTGCGAACAACTGAAGAATCTTGAGAATCTCCAGACATTATTAAAGCTTAGCCTCCATGTTCCTCTCTATGCTATGCTCGGTAACAATCATACAGGTTTTTTTTTATTTCTGCATTGCAGACAGATATAAAGATAAGGCACTTTTTCTGAATGCTTAAGTGGTTCAGTTCAAAATTATATTACCTCATTCAGCACAATGCTGTCTTCTTAAAATCTGATTTTGTAGATGAAAGAAGTCAACTGGTTAGTCTGAAAGCCTCAGTATGTGTGTGGCCAAAGGAGCATGGTTCTCTATCAGGATCCCAAGTAACCTTAGCAGATTACATTCATAATTTTCTCAGACTTCTTGATTAGCAAGACAGAAATACTACTGGAACTACTTCACAAGTGTTGTCCGTTTAAGGTGACTCTGCTGCACTTACTTGAAAGGATGGAGATCGGATCCTTTGTGCCTCAGTTTGCCTTTGTGTTTTGACTGGAAGCTGAAAAACAAATTTTCCAGTTCTACAATTATCTAAAATACCATCCTTTATTTTCTTTTCTGCTATATTTTTATACTTGTGCTCCTCCACTCCGAAGTTAGGAGCAGCTTATAAAACTGAGAAAATGAGGATAATAATATAAAACACAGACCTATAATTGGAGACATGATCGGTTCAAAACCTTTGTTTTATTTTGCTGGAAGTTACTTGGCTTTGTTTCCATGCAATAAAGAGAAAATACACAACAAACTCTAAAAGAAAGAGAATCTCTATATTGGAGTTTAAGAGTTCCTTGGAAAGACTAGAGGTTGAAAGATGGTATCACTATGTACGCTTAATAATATCATTGGCATTAGAATGGAACATTGAAATATTGAATTACTGAAACAAATATGTATATCAATACTAGGATTATATAAGTTTGATTAATGTAATGTTTTTATTATTGTTGTTGTTGTTGTTGTTTGTATCAAAATGAATTATACCCAGAAGCCACAGTTAATGTATTGATATTGATGTATATTTTTTTTTAAAAAGAGTTCCCTGTAACTGTGTCATTGAAAGAAGAGGAGGAGGTAGGCAAGCAAGCTAACTAGATTCTATTTTTCTACTTTGAAGGAATACTTTTTATATAGGGATTTATTGATTTTAAAGTAAAAAAATATGACAAGGACATTGACATGAAAGAGAAGCTGGATGATATGTTGCTTTCATGCTCTGGCTGGCAGGTTGAATCTCAACATGGTCAAATGGAAGGGCTTCACTGTCCAGATCAGAGGTGGGTTCGGCCCGGTTCGACCGAGTGGTAGTAACTTGGCCACTCACACGCCTGAACTGGTTCTATTGTCAGCGGTGCCATTTTGATTTTTGGTTCTGTGCATGTGCAGAACAATCTCTATTGCAGAAATGTATTTTTTCCCCTTTTGTAATGTTCTGCGCATGCACAGAACTTTTTGCTGTAAATGCACACGCGTGCGGAGCAAAACGTTTTTGCACTGAATCGGCACAGTAGCAACCCACCCCTGGTCCAGATCATGCTGTATTTCCTACTATGACCTTTATTAGAGGTAGAGACTTACAAATATCAGGGTCTCACTAAAACTTACAAGCACTGAAATGCAGTATGTGGAGTTGGAAAGAAGGCAGATACAAAGCCTGAGTGTGGGGATACAACGGTTGGAAATAATTGGACCAAACATTTATTGAAAACCAGGAGGTGGGTTTGATGCCATGCTTGCTAGATGACTTCGGGATAAATAGTAGCACTAATTGGGCCTAAAACATACATTGATATTCTTTCTTTTCTCAGTGTCAAGAGCAGCTCCTACCATGAATTGAAAGAGCAGCCCAGGATGCTAAGTGTGGTGAAAGAGGGAACATAATTCCAGAAGTAACTAAGGAAAGGTCCCTGATAAGCGAAATAATCTAAGAGCAGAAGCTACGTCTCATGCTTTCCGCTTGAAAACTTATCACTATAGTTTATTTTTCTAGAGTGTCTGGCAGTGGAAGAACAAATATCACGTATTTTATGCTCCTTTTGTCCAGCTTTTTCCATTCATGGAACAGGAAGCTGTGGAGCTTGGAAATTATTTTCAGATTTGGTGTGAACCTATTCACTCTTTAAAAAACTGCACCTTTTCCTGCTTATTTAGTAGTTTCACAGTGGCAGAAAAAAAAACCAAATCTGAGTATAGAAGGTTTTAAGCAGAAGAAGGCAACAGGTCCCACAAGCTTCTTCAAGGGACCACTGAGCAATACAGCCCAGCACCCAACTGAGATTTGAAGTGACTTCCCCACTTCAGAGGTGAATACTGCAGTTCCTGAGTTTAGACAATGACTGGAAAGCCGTGGCCACAAGAGCATCTTGATTGAAGGGGATTTTGGCCAACTCTGTGCTAAACATTTGCTTTCTACTTACCCTAATTAGAAACAGACAAGGGCTGCAAAATGCCAGTTTGAATTCAGCTTGACAGCAGGGAATTGGCTTTTAAAATTTCTTTCAAAGGAGTGGAGAATTTGGAATAAATTCTCATGGGTGGTGTTCTTGTATTTATTTACTTAAGCACAGGGTAAGTGTTTGCATATCATGTTTTCCTAGAACTATAGTCTCTACAGCAGGCAACCAGTTAGTTCCCTGGTTTTACATCACTGAGTTACCAAAGGATGTGATCATAAGAATCCCCATTCAGAGTTTTTTCCCCAGTGGAAAATCTAAGTAACCAGGGAGGCATCAGAGTGACTGAAAGATATGTAATACATATCAGTAGTCGGTATTTCCAGCTCTTCCAACATTGAATTTCGGTTCCAAGATAATTTAAAAAGCACTAGGTATAAATCCCAGGGGCCTATTTATTCCAAAGAGGTTGAAGATCTTTAATTTCTACTTTCCAAGGTTAGAAAATTTCAAACTTGGAAAGAACTCCCAAAAGAGAATAGGCTGTTGGCCATGTCAAGGTAAGAGGAACTGGCCTGAAATGTTATTTTTGTTTTTCATAATACTATAGCCTTTACGGTAATTGTACAAAATAAATACAATGAACTTGCTTTTTTAATAGAAGAGTGTGATGAGGAAGATATGTTTCTTGGTTTTCTGCACTGCAGGACTGGACACGATAAGGCACTGGGATTATCAAGGCATTGGAATAACTGACTTTAATAAGAGGATGGCTGTGTTTGCTAAATAGTCTTGTGCCTTATATACCTCTGCCTAAATTCATAGCCACTTCCTGCTTATTGCAGTTTCTGACGCCAAAGAGAAAGTACCTTATCTTGTTACAATCACATTCCTCCGGTCGCTTCTTCTTTAGATGACCTCTTACCTCTCGAAGGTTTTTAATTTTGTTTTGTAGAGTTTCAATCTAATAATAAAAAATGAGAACAAAGGGATGGATGCAAAATTGATTTTATTTGGTTTCTATCATTCAACTTGTCTAGATACTAGGCATTAAATTCCTTTCTTCAAAACCTCTCTGTATCCCAATTATTCTATTTTAACATGGTTTTTTTTTTAAAGAGAGTTTATGCTAAAAACTTTAGACAGAAATGCAGATTGTTACTACAATTACCATGTGTTGCATTATCTACACAGTTCACTGGTAGAAATTTGGAATAAGCAGCAAGGACATTTTCTAGCAAGGAACATAACATTTGACATTTGGGGGAAGAATAACTAACTGCTGTAATTATAGCAGAGGTGAAAGAAAAAAATATATCCACCACTTTTCTTTATTTACAAGAAAACCTTGGCAGGCAATGAGATTGAGCCAAGGCAGGGCCATTTATACTAGCACATACAAGTAAATTGATTTTTTTTAAATGCATGTGGTTTTTTTCCAGACTATGACTCATTTTTTGATTTGTTATTATTTTTTAAGTTAGGGGTTATTTTAATTGATCAACAAGTAATTGAAAAGTATCATGTATCAGGAGAGTTCAATGATCTATGTAGTTTAAGTCTAGAAGTCTTAAAGTTCCCAAGTTTGGACACCCCTGATTTATGGGAAAATTAATTTTAAAAAATCTGGGGGAAATGATGTGCATTTCTGTCAATCTCTTAATTGTCAAAGACAAAGACCTCTGGTAGGTACTGTATGTTTATATGTGTACTTTGAGAGCAAGAGGAAAATAGGAAAAACAGGCCAGTTATCAGTCTTTAACATACTGTTAATGCATAGTTTTATGCCCACTTGTTCTGAAGCTTCTTATCCACATGCTTTCTGTGCTGCCCTTTTAGTGCATTATGTAATTAAGGATATTAAATTAGCTTCAACAATGCCCTTTTATTTTCAGAAGGATTTGGGACTGAGCAGAGGCCTCCACGAACAGAAATACTTTTCAGGTCCTCTGGCTTCCTCTACCCCTAAAATCATATCCAGAAAATTAAGATTCTTTAGGGCAATGCAGAATGTGGCAAAAGGAAGAACTGATGATTATGGCTTCATTAAGGAAAACTGTGTTAAGAAGATGTTCACTTCTGTTTGAAGTTCTTCCAGGAATAAAAGGGAACCATTATATGCAGCCTGGTTTGGTCAGCATAATTGCCTGAATCACAGGCTGCTAAATCGATCATCAAAAAGCAGCTCTATTCTAAGACGTTCTCATTTCAAAGTGGATCCAGACATCATCCAAAGCTGGTATCAGACTATTTAGCATTCGGCCTTGCTTTTATTAAATACGTTGTCAGGCCTGGGAGTCATCTTTTGTATTGGGCCTTCTGGCCTGCACACATTCAATGCTGTGGGAAAATGGGAGGGGGGATTATACGGCGTATGGGAGATATACAGTCAAAATAACACTCCTTTCTCAGAAAGTCAAGGACATCTTGCCTGTACCTTGAGAGGTATGACTGGGAGGCATCTCCAGTTGGGTTGGTGCTTGATTGGGCTATATGACAGACATGTGGGCACTGGGGAGGGGCTTGGACTTTCTTTTGGGTGGGGAAAACCTGGAAACTTTCAGATTCGGGTTTTCCCAGATGGGCCAATATGACATCTCTAATAAGATGGAACTTTAGAGGAACTTCAAGCCTCGGAGTCCTCTTTCATTGGGGGTGTTACTTGGAACCCTGACACAGGGATTTTTTGGGGGGAGGGGTCTGACAATACTGAGATCATGCCTGTTGAGCGTAAAGCCTGACAAAAAAAGTCCACTTAAGGTTCCTTAGAATTTGGAAATGTGATTTCCAATGGTGATTCACATGGCCATAAACACTAACCTCGTGGTCTATATGAAGCTTATGGTCCTTCCAGGCTTGCAATGATTTATATAAGTCTGTGTCGCATTGAACAGTGTCATTCTCTAAAATATAGCATCTGTTCAAAAAAAAAAAAAAAGAGAGAGAGAAAGGTCATCATACTGGAGGCAATGACTAGATGTTGGAAACAGACCCATAACATTCATGAAGATCGTGTTTTATTGAGCTAGCTCAGCTAATGTGACTCCAGGAAAGAAACAGGGGCAACTCCCCTACTGCAACTAAGAGTAAACAATCTGTGCAATGGAAACTGAAGTTTGTTGTGAGGCTGAAATGTCAGTAGTGAAAAACCAAGGGTGCTGTCTTGAATTACTTGGAGGAAAAAAATTACTATAAACATTTTTTTTTTTGAAAAGAAAAGAAAAAGTAAAAGCTTACTAATGGTTGAGAAGCCTGAGTATAAACACAAACACTGGCACATGTGTGATCTTGAGTATGGATTGGCTGCTATGATCGGTCAGAGCCCAAATTTAACAAAGTATATTAGGCAACCTTGTTCTTAGGTGTAGCCATCCTACAGGTGGTCCTCTACTTACGCCCATTCGTTTAGTAACAGTTTGAACATATGATGGCATTGGAAAAAAGCGCCTCTCACAACCGCTCACTTACAATCGTCGCAGCATGCCTGCAGTCACTGACGACAACCATGCGCTTGGCAACCAGTCTGCATTTACAGCAGTGGCATCATCAGAGCATCATGTAAATGCCATGTGAGTTTCCCAGCCAGCTTCCAATAAGCAAAGTCAATGTGGGGAAGCCAAATTTGTTTAATGAATGAAAAAGGTTGTAAAGTTGGTTGCCTGATGACACACTGCATTACTTAGCAACAGAAGTTCCCATCACAACTGTATGGAAAACTCTAAAGCTTATATACTTTATGTTATAGTATGTTTAATTCTTAAGTGGACACAAACAGGACCTCATTTGTTGGATATTGAAGCCCTCTTATTACGGGGATTACACAATGCAGTTAAGGAAATATACACCTAGCTCATTGGGTTAAGCCTAATGTTTTGCTTGTATCATCACCATTACCATCTTAGCCATTGTCTACCCACTGCATGATGGAGGGTTCTTTCACACTGGGAGACCCTTCTGGACATATACATGTCCAACATAATCCACAATTTCATTTACCCACATATGCCTCTTCGCCTAATCAAGGCCCTGATCATTGAAGGAGATTTTGCTTATTTATTCCCATATATTAAGGCTGAAAAGAAGCATGGACTCTTCCTCTCCAGGGCTCTTGGTGTTCTTCAACCATTTTTTGTCATTATCAGACTAGGTAATATGCATCGAAGAAGAGAATATCCTGGTTGTTTATATGTAGCCTTGATTGAGGTATGGTTTCTTCCTTGATTAGGGTATCTTTTTTACTTAACAGATTAATAGAGTTGGAAGGGACCTNTCCAGCTAGTATATTGTATAAATGTACAACATATAGTATATGTGTAAAAAGAAGCAGGATTTTTCTTGCTTGGTCAGGTTTGCAACAGAAGCCTGTTGTGCTTGTGTAATTTCCCTGAGAAATCTGTCATACAACTCAATCAGCATTCTGACACAGTGATAGACAAGAATAAGCTCAACAACCTGCTTCAATGGGTTCTTGATGTGAGGAAAAATAGGAGGAGGAAATGTTATGTACTGAATGACACCTTGAACTTGAATAAAACATAAAGTTTAAATTGATGAAGCAAACAGAACAATTTTCCCTTGGCAAAGTTTCAGCTTTCTATTGTGTGACTGACAATAGGTCCTAGTTAAAGACTTTGGGTCTTAGGCTCATAAGGATTCTGGAGATATATGTAGAAAGAAATTACAAAACCTCTGCCCTTAGGTTTAAGGAGATAAAACAGTACTAGTGAGAAATAATTCTCATAGCCTTTGTAATAATTCTTGAAATTCTTGTAAGTCTATCCCCTACAATTCACTATATCTTGTTAAGAACAGCTTGTATGATTTGTGCCTGAGAAAAAGATTACTTTCAGTTTGAATTGATTGTCCAAAAGCTAGTTAGAGACATGAAAGAGGACAAAGCAGTATCCAGTTCACCTTCATGTGACTACAACCAGAGGTGGGCTGCACTTACAACCGATTCGGTGGTTGTGAGCATGCACACACACCTCCTCAGGGTAGAAATGGAGCTTCAAACATTCAGCTAAACAACTTAGGCAGCTCTGTTGATGACAGTAGGCACGGTGTGGAACTCAGCTGGACAGTGTGGGCGGGGGTAACGAGCCAAAAAGTTAGTTATAAATTGATAGAATAGCGCACAGACAGGTAGGCAGGCCCAACCATTGATCACAACTGCCGATTTGCCCAAACCAGTCTGACCAGACAGCAGCCCACCACTGACTACAACTCATAGTTAAGATTCCTAATGTAAGCATTTTTCCTTTGATCCTTGTTACTGGGGAAGATGGAATATCTAAAATTCATGGCTACTCTCCATAGTGTACTGATAATAAAGTAAATTTGGGTCTGATTAATTATGAGGGATTAAACTGGCTTTCATCCTGCACAGCAGAAATGATTTATTTTCTTGTAGCAACAATCCTTCATGCATATTCAAATGTTAATGTAATCACAGAGGACTAATATAAAATGGGCTGCTTATAAAATGTTAGGAGATGCATTTGTTTGTATACATTCTAGGGAGTGGATTGTTTTGAACTACTGAGTGCCCTGAATTTTTATTTGAATCCCCTTTTAAGAAAAAAAAAGCTTTAAAATATTACTAAATTGAGAAAACTGCAGTGATTATTCAACTGGCAAAATAAAAATTCCAAGTTGCATAGACAGCTAATTGTGGCCTTCCCATAGAATGACAGGTCTATAATTTTTGGTTTTGTCTGCATTCAAAGGCAGTCACCTTGACTCTGAGCAGTCCATTATCTGTTGGCCACCAACCATATGATGACATTCAAAGAGTGACAGATATTTCCATTATGGATTGATAAAATGTCCCACACTTAGCTAAGGCTTTCTTTTGAAATAGAACAACCTGTAGCTAGATAATATCAGATCCATATATGGTAAAATGTTGCAGATATACTTTTGCTACTAGAAGAATAAGGTATTTGGGTTGAAGTGGTTTTCGTTGTTGCTGTTGTTGTTGGAGATGTGCCTGTGTGTGAAGAGGAGGATTTCCATGCAGTTGTTGCTAAAATGGTAGATTAATTGTTGCAGTGAGCTGTTGGTTTTAATACATAGTAAATTTTACAAGAGATATTAAACAAGAACCCAAGCTCTACAATCTTCAATATTTAATGTTTGGAGAATGATTGCATCAATCCAGCATAAGGAATTTTGACTTAAAATATTAATAATAAAAACATATTTTGGCCTATTTATATTCAAATCTTTCTCAAAACACATCAGATGTTACTTATTAGGAATTAGTTGTAAACAAAGAATTTGGTAATTCTGTCACACATATATATATAATATTTTCACCACTTTGTCCAGCTAAATGATATCCAATTATCCTAAATTTATCTACCTCCAATTTTTACCAATTTGGTGCTAGAAGTCTATTGCCTTGTATTACCCACTCTGCTCAACATTCCAGATTGTAGTGGTTAGTATGAAAATGACAATGAATTCCTGTCTTGCAGGTATGAAAATTGTTCTTTCTATAGCCCATCCTTTGTCTCCTCCAAGTAAATAAGATGTTCAATATTCTATTGTTGGGAACTATGTCAGTAATTTCCCTATTTTAATAAAAAATAGCAATGGAGAACAATTTTCACGAGGATTTCAGACTACAAGTAGTCCTCAACCACAATTGAGCCCAAAACTTATGTTATTAAGTGAGAAATTTCTTAAGTGAATTTTGCCCCATTTTACAATTTTTCTTAGGTTTAGGTTAGGTTTAGGTTTATTCAATTTATATGCCGCCCTGAGTCCTTTGGGAGAAGGACGGCATATAAGTTCAATAAACCTAAGACCAATAAACCGAAACCTGTGCTTTCTGGAAATTTTCTGTTTCTATGCCACATCCAATCTCCAAGCTGCTATAAGATTTAGGTTAAAATAAGCCTATCAGAAACACCATTTAATAATTTTTGTAGTTTATAAACTGGATTTCTTCTGCACATTTCTTGTTCTTTTTTAAAGTGAAATCTCCTTAATCACCCTGAAACTAATGAGGCAGGGGCAGATATATAAACAACTTAAAAATAAAATAGATAGTCCCACATAGTAAAATTCTGCCAATGCAAAGAAAGTTCTAAAATTATTTTCCTTTGGCGGTGGATCACTTCTTTAAAATACATCTTTTTTGGTCATTAGAACACAATATTAACCCTGTAAGAAAACACATTCTTTTTCTGAATTATAAATATTATCATTTAAAGAAGAGTTATGGATTTATAAACTGATTCCAAATGATCTTTTTAGTAGGCTGATTGTTGCTTATCTGTTTATTTTTCATTCTTCTAATAATGAGCAAAGTAAGGAAGAAAAGATTGATCTCCATATCACTGCCAAGATCTCATCTATTTTACCAATGTATATCTGTCTGTTTGATCTATCTCTGGGTATAAAAAAGAAAGATATCCTTTTTAGCTTCATGTCAAATATTTTAAACAAATCTTTAACACGAATCAAGATGGAGGGGGACAAATGCTACAAACTGAACACTTCTGGGAATCTCATCTCCTCCCTACAGGATTCAATAGTGCTAACATACCTCTTACTCTGCAGGGTAGCTTGTACTGAGGGAATTGTGTTCTCCATTCAATTTTCTTCAAATAATGAACAAGTGCTATCAGGTTTATTGGTACTATCTAGTGCACACTTTTGGGGTGTAAATTATTTATTCCACTAATTAAACGGCAAGCAGTCATGGACAGTGAGCCCACGAAGGCAATTCCACACATATTGGATGCAGGTTAATTATTTAAGAATTGCAATATCACCAGTAATACCAAATAAATACTAATCTCATCAGCAAAAGCAGTTGGATGCTTGAGAGTTTTTGAAAGTTCAACCATTATAATGAAGTGGTTTGATAAGATAGCTTAAAAGATCTCAACACTGTCCTTGCAAGTAGGGAGGGTTTGATTTTTTTTTCTTTAAAAGAAACAACTATTTTCTAGAAACAATCTGGGTTCCTGTTTTTGAGCTTCCACTACTTTCTTGTTGTACTTCATTCACTCCACACCCTCATGCTTTTGGGTATTATTTTTTACCTTCTGAGCTTGAATTGTGTTTTGTTTATGTTTTGTTCCGTGCTTAAGGCTGGAGAGAGACATGCATTTTAAGTGAACTTCCAGTGGCCAGAAAATATCTCACAACCCTAAAAATAAACAAAATTCCTTGAAAGACAGCAAATCCGTGTACAAAATTAATTCTGCCATGCATTACAATGTATGCTTGACTTCACTATAATTCTCTGCAGATACTAAATGGCTTTTGTTCTTTGTAAACAAAGAGTCCTTGGAGACAGGCATGACTGAAATGTAACAAGTAAATGTTAAAATGGTAGCATAGATAAATCATAGGCTTTATATGACATGACCTAGTAAACTTTATAGGAGGTCCACTGGTATGAACATATAAGCTGCATTGCATTGATTAAGAAATGTATTTATTATATTCACAGCATACTGTAAACCAAAATTTGTATCACTCCAGTTTTCATAATGATTTTTATTAATTTGATTTTCTATTTTCTTTTCCAATTTTCGGTAAACACCCCATTCTTCCATTTTGGAGAGTAAGAAACAGGATCTAATATTAACAGAAAAAGGTCTTTAAAACATTGCATAAAATTAAATGATTAATTCTTTGTACACTACTCTAAACTCTAAGGGATATTATGTATGGATTGGAAATACATGCATGTTAAATACCATCAGGTAATCCTTACTTACCACCACTGTTGAGCTCAAAATTTCCATTGCTAAGCAAGACAGATGCTACATGAGTTTTGCTCCATTTTGCAACCTTTCTTGCCATAGCTGTTAACTGAATCATTTCAGTTGTTAATTCAGTAGCATAGTTTTTTTTTAGTGAATCTGGCTTCCCCACTGACTTTGCTTGTCAAAACATCCAAAAGGTGATCACATGTTTCAGGTACACTGCAATGTCATAAATACATGCCAGTTGCCAAGCATCCAAATTTTGATCACATGACCCATGAGAATGCTTCAGCAACCTTTTTCTGTGCCATTGTAACTTTGAATGGTCACTAAAAAGCAGTTGTAAGTCAATGACTACCTTAAGTTACAACTGTTAAGTAACCAACATGGCTGTTTGAACTAAAGTGAAATAGCCTTTATCTTTAGGACAATAGCAAGAATAATTTGAACAATATTCATTATGCAGGACTTAAATATCTTCAATAACTGACAGATGAATACATCTTTTAGCTGATGCATAATCACTAAATAAAATGGTTGTAAGTTGAGGAATACCTGTAATTTAAATCACTGTATTCATGGTAAATGGATTGAAGCAATTTATAATATTACATTCCATCTATTTTAATATTTTTTTCTTTAGAATCAGGTATTTCAAACTTTTCCAGGTGAGAAATGGCTAAGCTGTTTAAAGTTCTTTTGCACACAAGAAGACAACTGAGGTTGCACGTGATTGAGATGTATAAAGTCATGTATGGCATGGAGAAAGTGCTTAGGGATTAGTTTCT